ATCGATAGAATTGAATATTTTACTGCTACAAATTTAAATATGAAAAAGTTTAAAATTATATCATTATATTATTTAAACCAACTTACAGTAATTTAACTGATTTATTCGAGTTTCAATTTTTATTTATTCTTAACTGTTTATTTTTTTATTGGCCAATAATTATTCAACTATGGTGAAACTTATTATTATCAATTTACATTATTTCTCAATTTTTTTTTATTTGAGCCATTCAAACCTCATAGGTTTATTTTGGCTTACAAAAATACAAGAATACATAAATTACATAATTAAAAATCATTATACATAGATTGGCCGATATAGATCTTTATATTTCATTTTATATTTATCATTCTTAAATTTTTAGTTTACATTCGTTCATGAATTTAATGATCGCAATGCAAGCTGGTATGTGTGGTTGAGCGAGTATTGATTGGGTGTTGAGGGCTATTCCTCAATGAGACTATAAACTGAAAAAACAACTTCCTTTATTACTAATGAGTTATGTTTATTGACCTAAAATTTTTATCATAGTTAATAGACTTTCTTCACACTTCATAAAAAAATATTTCTTAAACAGGCGTTGAAATTTTTTATTGACATCATTAATAATGAATAACTAATTTTGCTTGAATAAATTTCAGCTAGATTTTTAAAATGATTTTAAAAAAATATTCTTCGTATTTTCAGAAATAATTCTCGACTGTTTATTTCTTTTCACTTAAAAATAACATTATAAATCACAATTATTAGTTTCTCCGTCCAATTATTTGTTTTGTACATTCACTTCTTTTCAACCCTCGAAATGGAAGATGTTGGTGATATTTTCATAGTGCTTCATTAAAGTTAATAATTGACGATGAATGAAGAGATTGACGAGTTTGTAAAACCTTGAGAAATTCAAACAAACGATAAATCTTTTATTCACCGCAAGAACCCACACGATAAATCTTTCAGTGTAAGGTTGATGCTCGATCTGAATAGACCTACTGGCTCCTCGCTCTTCGTCTTGTTTGAGTCCGTGGATCTTCCTCTTCTATCACCAGTAGGGACGTGAATACTCGATGCTACAATCTCTTGGCTTTGTTCCAGCTTCATGTGTATGTTTCCCAGCACTTGGTGTAGAAGTAAACTGGAGAGGATATTTCTTAGTTCTCTCTTTCGGCATCCTCTTCTGTGCACTCTTGACGACGAGTCTTTGCTAGTTGCTACTCGTGTTTCTCTCCGCCAGTATTTCCTTGCCTTTCTTGTCTGGCTTCTTCTTCGAACAAACTGATTTTACTTTTATCATTTTTCCTTTTAGGCATTCATTTTAATCATCTTTGCTCTAATTATCATTTTTATCACTTCCAACTATAAACTTCAAACTCATTTTATGAATTATTTATTTATTTTTTCTTGATTAAAGTTAATAAATAAATGCAATGTTGCATCTTAGAAATGATTGTCTTCTATAATTCATGCAAAGTTGATCGTTTTTTTATTTCATACTGCAACCTTGTGATTCATTGGACTTTCTCTTTCTTTTATATTCCATACACTTCTTCTTGATCTTCGCATCTCGCACTCTCTGTAGTATCCTCTTTTACGTTTAAATCTCACCGGAGATTCGTCAGTATGATATCACATTACCAAGTCTTGAGAGGAAAGATGGCAGGTATTAATTGCAGGTGAAATTAATGGTAACGCAAGACGACATAATCCGATTATCCGCGCGCATCAACGTGATATAGATAATTATAATAAAAATTATCTAAGATCTTTGCAATGAAAATAAACAGAATGAAACATCTGTTTAATTTAACTTCAGAAATTGATCTAAAAAATAGATACATAAAAATAAAAACTATTTACCATTTTTATAATTAATTAAAAAATTTTTATTATTCATGTTGATTTAGAGAATGTTGTAAACAATTAATTAGAAACAAACTTTCACTGGAGTTTGACGAAAAACTATTTTGTTTGGAAATATTTATTTACAAAAATAAATTTGAAAAATTATTGTTATTATAATTAGTGTAAACCTATTAAGGAAGGTATGTGCATTGTTTTAAAGATAAAAAAGAAATTTAATAACGAGCGTGGGTGTACATGGGGGGTAAATAAACTGGTGGATATAAGCAAGCAAGGACCTCACGCTGTGAGGTATCTACTTATCTGGAGGTGAGCCTTCAAGGATTCGTTCGCGTAATTCGTACAGTCGTGGACGATTCACGCGGTATAATAAACACACATACACATACTTATTGAAGAATAATACGGCAGACTATTAGGGATTGTAGTTGATGGTAGTAAAAGAGCATGAAAGGGAATATGTTTGCGTGGGTGAGCGCAATTTTACTGGTTATTCAACGTTATACTCTGAAAATGGTTAGAGCAGATGCAAGAGAGTTCATTTCTTATATTTTTTCATTTAAGGATCATGCTATAAAAGAAGTGAAAAAAAAATATATTTTAAACATGAAAATAACAATGAACAACAATGAATGACATTTGTTCCTTTATTTCATTTTATTTAGTAAAAATATTTTGTAGGAATTTTTCAAAAGCTGTATCGAAGGCTTTTCTCGACATGACTCATCGTGCGAAACTGTCCAACTTCTTGGAAACCCCAAGAGAGTCGTGACAATAAAGGAGAAGCAAACGGAGCAAGGGGAAAAGAGGGTTGAAAAAGCGCAGAAGCAAACCAAGTACCGACCACCGTATGTGCCAACGTGCAAGCCGGTTTGCTCCACTTACTTTGTTAAGACTCTCACGAGCCGACTCGCTGACTCTTTATGGACTGTGCACGTTGACTACACGACGCGGGAGACCCTTTAACTAAGCCTTAAGGGCACTCTTAATAAATTGGTGGTGTATGTTATCGTTCAGCTCGTGTATTTACATAAAATCGTTCAAAAAATTTTAGTAATGATTAATTTTCTGTTCTTTATGACTTTCATTTTTCACTTATTATGCAAAAAAATTATTTTCGGCATCTCTTTCTTTGCAAAACTTTTTCACATTGAAATAATTTGACAAAAAACATTCATAATTTTCTTTCCGTAGTAGTAGTAAAAGTTGACTTTTTGATCAATTAATACAAAAAAAGTTGTAGACGAAAATTTGTTCTTTTTAGTGAAGAAAGCAGAGAGTACTCGAATAGTGATCGATAGACATTCAGAAAGAACTTCACAGTCAGTAGAATTTATTGCCGTAAGAGTTAACTGGTCTCTCAGTTTACAACTGCGCGTACATTTGGCTTGGAATCTTATGTGTATTCTGACAAACGTTAAGAAGATTCATCGTGCAAGTGTAACTGTCAGGACGGATTGCTTTGTAATATGTTTCTTTATCTTCACCATTCACATAAGTATTATCTCAAAAACATTACAAACACTTGATACATTCTTTTGTTTAAACTATTTTTTGAATTTATTACAATTTGTTTATTTAAAACGATACAAAATTCTATTACCGATTTATTATAAAAGTATCACTATTGGTAGATTCTTTTTTGTACAATAATTTTAATCTTACACCTTTTGTATCCATATATCTCTAGCGTAAGGAACACAGTTCTTATTATAACAGTACTGAAAAAAAAATGATTTTGTTTAATAACGTAATTGAAGTATTTTTATGAAATATCTACACTGAATAAGCATACCTTCTTCTCTCCACATGAGCTTCCATCCAATATAGAACCAACGCCTTTACAAACCGTTTTCTCTGAGTTCCAACCATACCAAGTATTACTTATTTCCTTTATTTCACACCATAGAAAACCGTTGCAATTAACATAATCATGTACCTTAAGCAAAAATTCATGATTCAATTATTAGAATAAACAAAATTTTATATAGTGCATGTTCTCATTGAAAATGAATATTAATATAATAATAATAATAATAATAATAATAATAATAATAATAATAATAATAATAATAATAATAATAATAATAATAATAATAATAATAATATATAATTATGTAGAACTTGAAATGTATACTTGTTTCAAAAAATACAGTCTGTAGTTCTTTAACATTAAACATTATAAACAAACTAACATTTTTCATGGTCAACTTTGAAACATTTCAAGGTATTTGAAAGTCCACTATCAAAGTTGATGCATCAAAGTAAAATCAAATGAGTATTAAAATACACTCTAAAATATTCAGTCTGTTTTCTTCTATTAACAAGAATATTAAAAGTAACCAAAAAAATCTTTGAATATTATTATATCAGGCATGGAATACGTTTTTTAAGTCAAAGCCCTCTTTAAAGTTAAAAGTACTTGTGCAATAAGATCCACACGGAGAGAATTTTTTCACTAAATGTAAGTGCAAAAAGTGACAAGTCCACGTTTCGGAATTTAAAAGTAAAAATATTTCTATTCGATAGTAAATTTAGAGTTCTTGTAAGTAAGCTTGAGACTTAAAAGGTGTCTTAGTAAAAGAATTACTTAAGATAACTCAAAAATTACTTACGACAACCCAAAATTCACTGTTAAACAGAAATATTTTTACTTCTATATTTCGAAATGTGGGTTTGTCATTCTTGCACTTACATTTAGTGAAAAAATTCTCTCCGTGCACGATGAAAATTATATTAAGTAATTCAGGTATTCAGTCATGAGGACTTCAAGAAGTTCCAACAGCGGCTATTGAATGGCCCATGCCTGTACTTTTATCTAAAGCTGACCTACCTTACAACTTTTCCTAAATCCCAAAAACTGACATTGCTCATCTAAAGATATAATCTCTCCTGGTAATATATTGGGAAGTGGCTTTCCTGTATCTAGAAAAAGTTTGTTGTAGCCACAAGTTGGTTTACTATGACAGGGCAACCAGAACATGTCGTCAAGATTTTGATAAAAAGAATTATAACTAGAATTGTGGATGTAAAATGTTGTACCATCATGAAGATTACAAATGTTTTCATCTGACCATGATGAAGTTTTATATCCAGCATTAATCCTAAAATTTAAATGTGGCAATATTTTAATTATCTCTTTTTTTTACAAACCATTGAAGAGTAATAAATAGGTATATTATACAGCTCTTGATCAGAAAATTTTATTGTATATTTACTATAATGTTTATTTTGTAAACTTACATGTATGCAAGCTCTTTAACTGCTGTCAATATTCCTGAAAATTTCAAGTCATGGACAATTCCTGTTGCATTTATACTTTGTTGATTTTTTTGACAATTAACTGATGATTTTACTGCACCTAAATTGTCAAATTAAAACCCATTTAAATAAAGTAAAGAGATTTAAAATAATTGTAATAATTTTTAATTAAAAACAAATACCATCAACTGCTATACGTTTGTGACGGTTCGATTGGAATAAGTTGTGACTGAAAATAAGAAAAAAGTTAATGAGAAAGAAAGAGAAAGTAAATACCAATATGAAAGGTAATCAAAATTGCTATTTTTGTATATTATAAATGATGATATTCCATATTGAGTTATTTCTTTTTATATTATTTAAGCAACTATTTAATACTGTACTTGGTCATGGTTATTGCAATATCATATTTATCTTTTGGAATAATACGTCTATGATTATGAAACCAGAGATTCATGTCAATCAAACTTTCCTCGCACACAATTTTTGAAAACCCAATATAATTCTTCATGAAAAACGGTACTGCTGGTTCACTCTTCAAATATCACAAAAAGTTTATTAGTTATGTTACGATAAATATAAGTAATTAATTAAATTAAAAAAACATTCTAACCATTGCAATGATTATTCCTGTTATTCGTAAAGATACTCTAGGATTTCTTAGATGTTGAAAATATATATTAACATTGTTCCAAAATGAAATTAAATACAATATGAATCTGTTAAAAAGAATTCCTTTTGCTCTGAAAATTGGAAAGTGTTTTCACATTTTATCAATGATATCAGATTCATATTTCCAAATATTAATTAATCTTACTCAAGAAATTGTGATCCATAATCAGCATAAAGAAGGATCTTCGGTTGAATAGTTTCTTGTTGATTATTAGAATCTCGTTTCACTCTCTTCAAGAATTTCCTATTTCCTATTTTAATTTCTTTTTCTAAGCTAGCTTTAATTGTATCAGAAAAATCAACAGATTTTTCATTGTCTTCCTCAGAGGAAATATAAATCTTGTGATAATCAGATAACAAGAAACTTCCAGTTGGGTCTTCAGTTCCAGGTAGAAATTCATTATCGGTATCTCGCTTTCTTCGACGAAGTTTTTGTATTTCGTTCTTATCGAGAGGAATTATTGAAAAATTTCCAACTTTCCCAACCTTAAAAGTTATCAAAATTAAAACAATCTGACTATTATGAACTTAAATTCATACATTTTTATGAATCAATAAAACTCACAAAATATGGCACTTCATCATCAAATCCTGTTCCAATAACTGTATTTTTAGAAGTTGCATACCATAAAAATTGTTGTTTGATTGTCTGAAAAGTTTTACAAATATTCTGTTAATTTTTTACTCCAATTATTTAGAAATAAAAAACAATGATGTGACTTACAAAAGGTGGAAGCTTCTTAAGGTTTAGTGAAGTGTTCTTCCAATCTGCTAGCCATACTGGAGTTTCCTCATCTATCAAATTAAACTGGATAGGTTCTAAATATGCTGTTATATTTTTTCCAAATGCGTAGAAATTAACGTAGCTTTTACAATGAATTTTGTGGGTGATTCCATCTTTTGGATACCAGATTTGTATAGTTTCATAGTCAGACGGTGAATCTTGTGCAGTTTTATCAATTAATGTTAGTACATCTAATAGTGTTGAATTCACATTATCTTTTGTTCTCTAAAAACCATTTATAAATTTTAATTAAATTTGAAAAAAATTATTTTTTAATTTACTTACTTCACAATTAACGTTCTGAGAGGAAACAATACAAAACAAAGTTATAAAATAAATGATATTATCCATTTTGAAACTTATTTAGTAATTTTTACTTGTCCACAAAGGCTAAGAGGTTCAAAAGACATTAACTTGGAGATCTAATCGATGAATTTTATACTATTTTGAATATGTATTTAACATTTTAATTCAATATTGACTTGAGTAATAATGAAAAAAAAGTAATGATAATATTAGACTCATACGTTTTAATATTTTTTCAAAAGAAATTTTACACTATTTTTTATCATGCTTTTTTGAATTATGAAATGAGTACAATAAAAATGTATAAAAAATATGAATATAAAAATATACATTAATAAGTAATTATCAGTAGCAGGTTTTATTGTTTAATTTGATCCAATGACAATCACTTGAATAAATATAATACCTTATAATAGTTATTTAACCAAGTGCTAATCTTTATAAAATTTCGATAATTACAATAATGTTATCAAAATGTTTTAATTGTTACGTATTATCCAAATATGTATTTAGAATTAGTTATATGTATTATAGTAATTTTATTAATACTGTTCAATCTATTTTTGGCTGACAAGAAAAGTCATCAAAGATGATTTCCCTGGACGATTCACACATCTTCTAGCATTACATATCTGTAAAAATAAAATATAAGGAACGATAAATAAAATTATTGAAGTTGAATAGTTTAATTACGTACTTTATGTGTATCACAAATGGTGCCATCTAATGCCGGACCACTATTTTGGCATTTCCAGGCAGAAAATAGTCCTACAAAACCTTCTGTCCAACATTTCAACTCACCACAAATATTATCTTGATATGATGTCTGAAAAATAATTAACCATCGTTCAATTATCATCAGATAAAATGGTCTGTCTTTTAACTTACCTTACAAGCATGTGAATATCCACGATGTATACATTGTTGTTCTGCATTCGTCAATTGACCTGGTAAAATATTTATCAAAGGAGGTCCATTGAAGGCCATATTCTCTTTACGTAGACATTTTTTATTGTTTTCTCTAAAAAAATTCATTTAATATTTTTAGTAGAAAAATTAAAAATAATTTTGTTTATTTCTTCTTCTTTTAAGAAAAAGGCACATATTTTCAATAAGCAACGTACGCTAGATATTTTGTAAAAGTTTCTCTGCTGCAGTTAGACCATACGAAGGGGAGATTGACATCATACAAATTTGGCGACATTATATAATTATAATCCACATCATTAGTATCACAATAGGGGCTTGAAGATCTTGATTGGCCATCATGGGTCACCCCTATTCTATGAAACGATTATGAATAAAATAATTTTATTGTTTACTTCAATGAATATAATTAGCGGTAATTCAGACCACTGGTGATAATAATAACTTACATATGTGCAATTTCGTGAGCTGCTGGAACTATACCATGAAAATCGAGTTGATCGTGAATAATTCCTACCATAGTCACTCCTGATCCATAGCCATCTACACAATTTGCTGCAACCTTAGCTATGCCTAGAATTCATTACATAAATTCAATGTTCATGACTCATATCAGACAAATAAAGTCGACTAGCAATGAAAAATATTCGTATTAAAAGAATTCTATGAAAAATATAAAACAAAGAAAAGTTCGATGAATTTTTTAAATGGGACAATGAAAGTTAAAAAAAGAACTGTTAAAATAGTTTTGGCTTAATGATAATATTAAGCAATAAAATTTTTCATTTTCATTCTTTGAAGAATTGATAATTACTTAAGTTATTAATCATTTAGTTTATATAACATTATTCATAGAGCAGATTTTTTTTTAATTCGAAAAATTCATTATCATTCATAATTATTTGAAAACAAACCTAAGGTACCCTCTTCACAATAGTTGGAAGTATGACTCTTCTTGCAAAGTTTTCGCCTGAAAAAAATTTGTTTTAATGATTTAATACTGAAGTAACAGTCGAGAAATGATAATACAATATTTCTAAAAATAAATTGAAAATATTTTCATTAATAACATTTTGCAACTTACTCTGTCATTGTAATAGCAATGTCATACATAGATCGTGGAAATGAAGCTTCGTGCTCTTCGAAAAACTTTGACATCCATATTAAAGCTTGACGATCTTGAACCATGTTGTCTTTAGTTGTAACTTTTTCCAGAAAAGGTACGTCATAGGGAGCCTTTAACAATATTTTTTCATTCATTGTTTTTTCAATATTTTTTTGTTTTTCTTTTAATTACCAAATATTGATTTTATTTTCATTCAATTTATTTAATTTTCTCAAATGGTGAAAAAAAAATTTGTTTTTCCAAGTTTATCTGATATTTATCATGGTGTACGTCCGTTTTATGAAATAATGATGGACACGTAGGTAAATATAAAACGAACCATGATAAACACGAGATGAGTCTTTAATAAAAAATTACTTTTCTATTCGAAACGTGAAGAAATGACTAAATACTTACAGTTCCAATAACTATGGCAGTTACTCGTAAAGATATACGTGGATTTTCCAATGATTGATAAAACATGTTGACACTATTCCAAAAAGCAACAAGATAGATAATGAATCTATTAAACAATAGTCCTCTGGGCCTAAAAGAACATCAATTATTCCAATAGCTGTGATTGGAAGCTATAAAATAAAAAACGAAAATACTCACTCAATGAACTGCATTCCATAATCAGTATACACCAAAATCTCTGGATAAACAGTGACACCCTCAGTAGGAAGATATACTTGGCGTTTAGACTTGTGATTGTGATTGTCATTTCCGGATTCTTCAACCTTCTTTTTTGTGGCTGCAGCGGAAGCTTTCATATTATCTTTTGTAAATTTAGACGTAGTATAAAGAACGTGGTAATCAGACAAAATATATTTCCCACTTGGATCTAGACTTCCAGGAAATGGCTCTGATCCAACATCTCGTTTTAATCTAGTTATTTTGTCTGATACGCTCTTAACTACAGGACTTATAGTCATGTCTCCAATATATCCTACCTAGAAAGTCACATTTAAACGTTAACATTTTTAAACCAATTAGCTACAGGAAATTGATTTTATTATGAACTTACATAATATTTAACTCCATTTTCATCATATCCACTACCAACTATTGTGCCATACCCAGTTTTAAAAAGTTCAATTTCTCTCGTCATACTCTGTTGGAAATATGATGCATTAAAAACGATATTTTTCACATAAAAATATGTTATGAAAATATCATTAACAATACTTACTACACCCAACTGTTTAAAATGAAGCTCTTTGTCTATCCATTGAGCCATGTAAATAGGTATATAAGCACCAACGACACTATTTTCTACAGGTTTCAATTCAACTTCTTTTTCTGTATATGAATTGCCTACAATCATTCTGGATATTCCATCTTCAGATTCATCACTTGATTTCTGATACCAGATTCGAACGATTTCGTATTCCGGAATGGAGTCATTTGAATTGAAAAAATCGAACGTCTGTTTTTTCTCTTCTTCAGTCATGTATTCATGAATCTAAAAAGATTATTACAATTATTTAAAATCTCATTAATAATAAAATGTCAGTTTGAATTGGAATAAAGAGAAATGAAAAGTTTGTAAATACATTTTCACAAGAAGTAGTCTTCAGAAAAATTAAACAAAAAATACCAAAATAATAAATAATATTAAAAAAATTCATCTCGAATCTTTTTCTTATTTGTCTCGAGATTGTAAAAAATTATAAAGTAATAGAAAAATAAAGTTTACAGCTTTGTTACTTTCAACATAAAACTGGAATTGAAATGGTGATACTTTTTCTTTAGTGAGCGCTTCCGAGTTTATATACAGCCTTTATTCATTCAAGTAAATTTCCAGGTTAATTGTTTTATTAATATTTGAATAATTACAAAGATAATCAATAAATCAAATCATTGTTATGCTTTACATGATTAAGTATCGATATTTAATTAATCAAATTATAATTATCTGAATAATTCATTAGTAAATAATGTTTGCATAAATAAATAGTAGTCGAAATAAAATATAAAAATGAAATCATAATTTTACTGTAAATGTTTTTAACTGGACATTTCTTATTGTGTAATTTGGATTCCCATGTAGTATTATCTATTTTTCTTATCTACGTTATTATAAAACGCATAAACAGCTATAAAACCATTTCTGTCGTCCGCTACTGACACAACCTCCATCCCTATAAGGAACTCACATAGCTTCAACACGACTGGTTATTGGAACGACCTGGAGACGCTTCTTTATCGTGGGATTCAGACATTTACAAGTGATCTAAGATTTAGGATGGAATAAAGTTTCATCATTGATAGCAGTAATTCTAATTTGTGAATTATGTTCTGTGTTTTTTTTTTAGATAATTGGACAATCGGGTTATAATCGAATAAATTATCAATTATCAGTGACACAATAAAGTTAATTTGCTGAATGATTTCATTCTTAAACAATTACACGGGCGACATACTTTCTTTATGTGAAAAAAAATACTGATGACTTTGATTTTTTTTTTCTATTTTAGAATAATCTTTTTTAGTAGGATGTTAAAAATTGATTCAAGTGAATTTTCAATCATAACTTTTATGTTTCTTGTGTTGAAATATGAAATGTGTGTTTCTCTTGTAAATTAACGAGTTTGTAGAAAAATTACAATTGATGAAATAAATACAATTGTTTTAAGAGATAGATTTTATAGAAGTGCTTTAGAAAAATGCTAAAAATTTCTTTTTAATGATTTAATTAAGTTTTTTTTTAATTTATTAATAAATTAATGAAGTAGTTATTCAAGTGATAATAAAGTATTTATCAATTAATTAAGGAAAATGTTGAGCGATAGAGATAAAATGCATTACTTTTATGGGCTGTTTACTTTCATGATAATATTGTTCACTCATCAATGATGTGACTGCTGAAATTTTCTTTCCTTTGTCTTTGTTGCCATTTTTTTACTCACTAGAATAAGGTCTTTCCACTATCAATGCATAAAACCGAACCTTATTGATAAATTGAGCCAATAATAAATTTGAGAAACCTATAATATTAATTATTAATAGCCTTAGTTTCCAACTAATGTAATTATAATGAAACAATGGTTGTGTGAATTTCATTGATTAAAACGTACACTCTTAATCATTTGATTGGCGTGTTAGATTTTGGTATACAAGTGTGTGTGTGTGGAGGGTTTTTCATCCCCCTATGCAGATTTTAAACAAAAATGATCGCTTCTTCGAAGGTTAATTAAAAAGTATACTTAAAAGGGCAGCTAAGAATGTAAAAAATTATGATTGATATTTTATAAGTAAATTTTCTGGTATGATAAAACATTTCACGCACCCACTTACTATATACAATTTTTTTTAAAACAAATTAAAATTAATCTCAATCTTTTATTAGAAACCATATCCCAGTAAATATTTTTTAAACAGATATTAATTAATAAACTTATTACTCCCCGTAACTGGCTAGCAGTCTCATAGTTTAAGTTTTCGCACATCTTTTATACTGAATTCTTGCCTATTTCTCACTTCCAGATACATTGACCTTATTTTGCCGTATCCTTTGCCTATTCTACCCTCTCTCCTCAGATAATCCTCTACAGCTGTTACCCTTTTTTAGATATCCCTCAATAAATATTACCCTCTCTTAGATATCTCTCAATAAATCTTACCTCTAAAATCTCTCAATGAAGATTACCCTCTCTTTGTAGCAAATCAGCCCTCAACAAACGTTACCCTCTCTTCTTGGATATCACTCAGTCAACGTATCTCATACCATTCATTCTTTTTATTACTCAATCAATGCAAGGCAACAACTTTGGATCATAATAAAATTTTTCATAATCTAAGTCAGGAAAGTGATCAGTGATAAATTAAAAATGATTTTCTGTTTTATGAGAATTATATATTTTTTAAAATATTCATATTTCCTTTAATTTAATTTTCTATGCTTTCCATCATTGATAGTTAACAAAATATATTTCTAAATACTTTTTTTTGATTTATCATTTAAATAATATCTATCAAAAGTCAATAATAAATTTAAATAATTATATTGTGTTATATAAATGTTATAATTATATTATATAATTATTTTATATTATGTTTATGTAATTATATTATATTATATTATTATAATAATTATATTGTGTATATTAATATACACGAATGAAAACACTTGAAGAATATATTAAAAATATATACAATGTAGTGAAATATGTGTGGCAAAAAAACCAAAATATACGAATTAGAATGTAAGCAGTATTTTTTGCACAAAAAGTCGAATGTATTTATACTGTTTAAAAATTAAAAAAGAAAAAAATTGCCAGAAACTCTGAAGCTTGTATGCGAGCATGACCTACCCTCATGTTACGCTGCTACGCTCTGTAATTCAGAGCAGACGTACACGTGCTCTCACTACACCATAAATATTTAAGCAGAGAAACTTTTGCCGGTTTCCTTGTTCACTATAACCCTCTTTGTACTCAATCATCTTCTTTCATTTATGCTTCCTTTTCTCAAATACTTTTTCTACTTTTACTTAAGCTGTGAAGCTCAATTTTTTCTTCTTCTCTCAGTAATAACAAGGAGCGAGAAGCATTCACTATGGCTCGTTGAGTCTCGACGACACGTCGCCAATTGCATCAACTGCGAAAGAGTGTGTAAGTCAAACATTTAGAGAATGCCCCGCGGAGAAAGAACCGGTATGTCTGAAGAGAGTAATTATCGTGAAATGTTTAAACTCCACCTACAAAAATTTAAATTGCCACTTTAGATAAAAATGTAATTATTTATTTTTCAATTTTTCCTTCCAAAAAAGAAAGAGTGCCGATCAATAGTAATATCAACTTGAGAACTCAGTACGTGTGTAAACCGGTTTTCTTTATTCCAATAAGTTGATTTTAATTTGGAATAATTTTTATTTCTTATTATTTGAGATTCCCAGTCATTTCTCATGTGTATTGCATGTCCAAATAAATGGGGAAAAATGGACATGACAATCCGGTAGCATGAGTATACACCAAGCATCAGTCGAATCGTCGGTGCTGAAGACGCAATACCTTAAATGGTTTGGTCCAATACACTCAAGCGATGGTTGGACTTGCGATCTGTCTTTATGACCGAAAGTGGGCGTCGTCGCATTGCTGAGGACAACGAGAAACAACGCGACGTGAAGGAAAAAAAGGGCCAGTGCAAAAGCACACATCGATTGGATCGTTAATTCTCTGTTGTCGATTCTCCATCGTTTCGCGATCCGATTGAAGATAAAAAATAATCTTCAACGCGAGCAGTTATATTCTGAGATCGGATTATAAATTATGCAGAGATAATATCTGAAATATTTTATTTATTTCGACAATTTTAAATGTCTAATATTGAACAGATGACTCGAATATATAAATTCATATTTCTCTTCTTACCTTTCAAGGTATCATACTTTCGGATCTGGTGTCAGTATTGTGCGAAAAAGTGCATTATGAAAGGTATAAATGATTCGAAAGCACAAGACTCGAGTGGGCAGTTGATGTGCGTGAGACGCGTTAAGGAACAAAAGACAGGTCGTTCCTGCAGGTTATCCTGCACGATCTCAGATCTTCAGGAATTAATTACTCACCACAAGAGTCACGGGAGTCTCGACAGAATATATTTATCTTTTGTTTTTTTTTTCTTTTTTTCATGTTAACTGAATAAAAAAATCTCATTTCCAGTTGAAGACACAAAATTATTACAAGTTGATTAACATATTCAAGTTATATAAAATTTTTAAGTTGTTAATAAATTAATAATCTCACGTAGATTGATAATTCTACGTCGATAAAAAATTTTGAAGAATTTATTTATTCATGGAAGTTGTGATTGAAATATTGCTTGTGAGATTTGAAAGATTTAATTAGCTTCATGATGACCTTAGAATACGTTATTTTACTTTTAAAATAAACAAAAAATATTCTTACGAATAACAGGATCACATGTTGAAGAATGCTTTAAATTTAACATTTTTATTGCACGAAATGGTCTTCAAGTTAATCAATACAGCATTTTATTGCTTAAGTAATAATCGTATTTAATGATTATCGAAAATCATTAGGCCAGAATACTTTAAATCAGGTAAAATATTTGATGTTTCTGACAATTTATCAGATTATTTTTTGATGAAATATATTTTTAAGTTTGAATTGGTTACTTCTAATTGAAAATGTAATGTAGTAAAACAAAAATAACTATTTTATACAAAGTACACAATGTAAATTGACTTTGCTAAATGAATTCTATAGTTGAATGGTAATTTTTTATTTTTGTTCTAGGTTTATCAAATAGAAAATATTATTGTAAAAGCTGCAAACTCTCCAAGACCAGCTGCGTGGGTGTTGGAGAGGTCTGTCGATGGTGAAGAATTTCGACCATGGCAATATTATGCTCCAAGTGATGAGGAGTGTTGGTCGAGGTACTCGATTCCGCCTGTCACAAAGCCAATTTTCAATTTCGATGACGAGGTCATTTGTACAAGTATGTACTCTAGACCAACTCCAGTGGAAAACGGAGAGGTAAAAATAATTTATATTTTTAATGGTTTCTTTCAACAGAAAAAAAAATACATGTTTTCATTTTTTCCATTTCATTAAATTATCGAGTTAACTGATCCGGCGTCAGTTTGACGGGTGTACAGTTGATGTCGTACATGATTACATACATTCGATCTCAATCGAACATCAATTATTATCCGGTTTACAAGATACTTGAATAATTATACAAGATACGATAATTGTTGATCAAAGTTTTAATACGTAAGCGTGAATAAAATCAAGTATTTCACTTGGTTGTAATAAAATGAAATTAAAGATAATCGAGATGAATTAAAAAATTCTTACTTTTAATTGTCGACTGCAACACTACTCAAGTAACAACAGTAGACAGATCTTCAACCTTCCGGGACAGAGCGCGACATTTCTCCTTGATGCAACGAGAAGTGATCCGGTCTCTTTTTCACATTTCTCATTGCTCACAAAAGCGTAAAACTGCACAACCCCTTCTCTTGTAAGGAGACAGTGTACGTGAGATCCCTTACAAGGGTCGTCAGTATAACCATACATGGTTGGAATGTAGGGATCTCTGTTTTTATCATTTAACTCGTTTCTTCTCCTTTGACTCTTCAGATTCTTTTCGTTTCAGTTCTCATCACTTCCCACTGTCCTTTCCTCAAACCTCTCACCCTGAAGATATTTTATATTTTTTCATTCATCTACACTGAGAAAATATTCTTCAACTGCTAACAAGAATCGATGGTAATATAATGAAATAAATTACTTGGCTAGAACAAGTGAATCATTCAGAAAAAGATCTAATTTCCATCAACTGTTATCTTGAATCAGAAACAGTCTAAATCAGCATAATAAAAAATATTACTGTGAAGAATCAAGGTATTAAATGAGATAAACGAGCAAAGAAGAAACTAAAGTAGTTAAACTGATCTTTGATAATGATGTAGACAATTAATTGAAATTTATATTGAAGAAAACTAGCAAAAGTCATTAAGATAATAGTAAATTTAGAACAATAAGATGATCAGCAGTGTTCAGTGTAGTAAAATACAACAACAGTCTGTCAACAATGAATCATGTTTTTATTGAATGCTCTGAACTAACTAAAGAAAGACTCATTATCGAGTTCCCTGGGAACTTAACTGTCTGCTTGAATACATCAGCAAGCTGCTGCAAGACATCCAGCCAAGTCCAACATTTTTGAATAATTAATTGTTGATTACTTTTTTTTATTCAAACGTGTCAAGTGTTTTAATTAAACAGATCGCTGATGATTTTTGATGTTTGATGAACTGGATTTTATTTTCATATCATAAAAAGAAAATAATAATTTGATGCAAGTTAAGCTAATAGTGTTTTTAAATCTAATGTAAGTTAGATAATAAAGTTTATAAAATACATTATCAATAAAAATGTCATAGCAGAAAATATCTTTGATTTAGTTCAGGTACTGTTTTTGATTTAGTCATTGATAAACTGACTGTGGGAAAATTATTCATTCCTTGATGAGAATCGATGAAAGATGACAAATATCAAGAAGCTGACACTATGATTGGTTCTTTAGATTCTACACAAGAGATTGAGAATGTAAAATTTTGTGAACTAGGTTCAGGTAGATCAACTCAAGTCTTGATACCATCAATGTCATTTCATATCATTTAAACTCTTTAATCATCATCAAAATGTAATTCATATCATTGCCTATTTCTTGAGTAAAATTATCTAATGCTTAACTTTGGTAATCATTTCAATTCTATCCATTATCTACTAACAATACGTTAAGTATCTAAATAAACTATTATATTGATAGGAATTATCCTGTATGCTAATAAAATATTAATCAAGTTATTTGTAGAATATTGTTGATTTTTTTTTGTTAAAACTGAATACTCTTTGAAAAGTAGAGATAATTTTTCTTTAATTTGATTAAAATTGTGTGGGAAATAAGCAAAAATCAAAGAGTTCAGAATAATTCTCTTATTAGAGCATTAAACAATAATGTGAACAATTGGTAGATGCGGTACACTCAAAAACACATTGAATTGTTCACCATTCAGAATTACAGTTACCTTTAAAGGTAAACTCAACCCTCACCTTCTTCCTTGTTTCATTCGGTATTTGTTTCGTTCGCGGTCCCATTCGTGGATGATTTACAGTTTGCTTTAGTTATCTCGTCCTTTCTCGCACTATACTTTCATTATCATCCACAATTGTATACCCATTCTCTCCATATCTTTTTCGTATCTACCTCTAATGATGTAAAAGATTAAATAGAAAGTTAAAAACAATCTTGTTAAATTGATTTTTTCGTTATTTTTTTTTTTAACCTTGAATTATAAATTTTTTCATGATTGTATTTTTTTAGATCCACACACATTTGCTGAATGGTCGACCAGGTGCACAAAATCACAGTGAAACCCTGCAAGAATTTACTCAAGCGAGATATGTTCAATTAAGGTTTCAAGGTCTTCATCGTAGTGGTGGAGCAATCGCTGATAAACGACGGGCATTTTATTCCATAAAAGAAATCAGCATCGGTGGCCGTTGTTTGTGTTCAGGTCATGCTTCTCGGTGTCGATACAGCGTTCGCCATGGGGTAATTCTTAATTTATATCACAATTTAACATTTTTAACACTCATAAATTTTCAAAGTAATACTTCAAATGCTTCCTTAAAAGGAAACGTGGTCTTAAGAACGTATACATTCATTGCGTAATACCATAAAATATAATGCTCATAGATATCAACATTCGTTTAAACATCAACTTGGCTATTTAGAAGTTAAATTACTTATATGTTCCCAACACTTATCAACGATTCTTTTCTTTAATGTTGTTTCAAAAAATTCTTTGCAATAACATCTTGTTAATTTTTTTTGTTTATCTTTTATGCTATGATAATATTAAGCTTGCACTTTTCTTTAAACTTCTCAAGAGATTTTACATCAATGTATGTAAAAAAGAAAAGTCATGATTAATAGCAGACATGAGTGTAAGTCTTTAGACAGTACATTCTCAGACATTTGCTGGGCGGATTCCATCGACATTAATTACTATTGTCCACAATACTTTCTCCGGAATCTCCTGAACAAGTTGGCGAACTTGCTGGGGTTCATTACACACTTAAAAGCTGAATTGTGAATACATAAATTTAAGCATACGCATGTAGCTTATATGGTCATTGCCGTAGTTGGGTTTAACTGAGCTGGTGAACTGACGTTGTTCTTCGTGTACTCCTACGGGTACGACTTGCGAAAGTTCTCGCTCGCGGTCATCGGTCACGATCGCGTTCGTGTTCAATGCGAAAGGAAAAAGTGAGAAGGGAAAGGATTAAAAGAGCCGAGGGGATCAAAGAGTTTAACCGGCCTTCAATTTTTGTTTATTTTTTTCATCTCCTCCTAAATTTTGTGTCTCTCAAATTTTTCATTTTTCTGAGCTTCAATTTCTTGAGACTTTTTTTATTTTTAACATAAATCATACTGAAAGGCTTTAATTAAGTAAGTAGTTTAATATGTTCTCGATCGTTATAAAAATATATTTGTTTATCATTGTATTATAATTAACTTTTAGTATAGGGTAATTGAAAATTCGTAATTGACTTTCTAATGCAATTACAGTCCTTCGTGTCTTTATAGATATACAATAAAATTTAACATTATTTGTATGTACTAGTTATTTACGAGGTAATTACATGATATTTATTATATTGTCTTTTAAAAAAATCATTATCTCGATAGAATCAGTTTTTTTTTATATTTTCACATTGAAATTTTTAATAGATCGAAGTTAATAAAATATCAATGAGGTAGAATACATCAATAAACGAATAGCCGCAATGCTTCTAGTTTTATAATATTAAAAGATGAATAAAAAATATAAAATCTTTTATTAAGATTTTATCGAAGCATAAAATTTCGATTCTTTGAAAATATTTAAGCCAATTAATAAGTAACAGTCACGCCAAGTTTTTGGTTGTTATGTTTATCGTCTCATAAAACGTAATATATTTTTTCTTTAAAAAAAAGAAAAAAAAATCGAAGAAAATAATTCATTTTAAATATTGTTGATTCTTAGATTTAAATACTTGGCGTTCAATGATTTTAAGACTTTTTTAAGTTGCATCATTGTTATTATTTATGTTTGACGCACATTTTTGTACAGCCTTGACGAAGGAGGCTGTTTTTCATGAGGTTTAATATATATTGGACTTATAAGTCTAATTTAGCAATTAGTCGACAGTCTTGTTTTTCTATAAAATTAGTTGCAAATTAATTTTTCATGTTGCTGAAGCTAAAAAAAACTGTAGGATAATTTATTACCTATTGGATATTTATTAATCTAACTGCTTTCATTAGATAAATTAGTGCCCCTGAATTGTATTTGGATAAATGAAAAAAACGATCAGCCAAATTAGAATTTCTTTATGGCGACATCGAGTGGATTGAATTAATTGAATTAGTTTTTGAGTAGCCTCTGCAACAAGTAGCCAATTCGATCACTGAATAGATCGCATTGTCATGACATTTTTCTTAACACATTTTTAAACTCAAGAATTTCAAACATTTTACTTAAATGTGTCTCAATTGATGTAAAAATATTTTGCCTTTTTTCAAGGGAACATTTCAGATCTCATCTTCTACTTTAAATAAGAACGTATTTTAGAAAGCATCTTGTTAACGATAAGTCAAAGATATAAACATGAGCAGTTAACAATTTTTCTTTTTATCATAAGAATATTGTATTGGCGGTCTCGGTCTTAACTCGGTAAATTTCAGTCAAAAGAAAGTAAGAAAAAGATAAAGCTTTGATGGCCAAACGATTTGACGATGAATCACCGGTGCAATTCTGCCGTTTATCCTACGTCGTTATTTACCGGCATGATAATCACCACTAGAATACTTGAATTATAAACGTTCACCGAGTAATCAGTTCTGAAGTTGGTCAAGCAATTACTCTTTGCCATTGCCTTCTTCCTTCACACGTGCACCGTCGTTGATTGTAACAATTCATTAGGATCAATCATTGTTACATTTATATTATATAATAATTATTCATTTGTTTATTTATTTCTCATTTATTAAAATATTATCATCGACCATTGCAATCTTATTCATTTAAACGCATTTTAAAAATTACAATCATTAAAAATAAATGTAGACAATTAATTCAACGACAAAATTAGGTATCAAACACTCTTTATAATCAATAAACTTCTATTTTGAATGAAAAGTGAATGGTTGATTAAAAACAACGTAAATTAATCAGAATTTTACAGTGTCTAGCGTGAAATTTTTTTTTAATAGTATCATTGGAAAATATGTACAAGTAAACAAACACAGAATAGAAAATGTTTTATTCGAAATATTTGTTCATCATTGGGACTTCATTCTCTGAGGAAATGAGTATTGGGAGGTAATGGAGTTGAAACTTTTAGAGTACATTTCGCAATATTTTGTGATACATTTGAGAGAATGTTTTGGTTTTTTTGTATAACAGTAATAAGTCATAAATTGCGGTAATTTTTATGGCATTCCATCAGACACCAATTTCATGCGTACATTTATTCCTTGCCTTTGGTATAAAACTATAATTCGAACAAGATGCAGTTTTTCGCATTTTTTGTTATTATTGCAGACCGTGACCAGTTTCTGGATAAAAGTATTACGTGAAACTATTCGGTGTTGTAAAAATGGGAATTATGTGCGTGTAAATCGTAATATTTTGCAATTGCGGTATTGTAGCAACATTTATTAACAAGTTGATCATAAGCAAAAAGAAATTAAGTGCACTTATTTGATATCGGTGATGACAGATACATGGTTTACATGGTCAACTATCAATTTTCATATCACCATTTAATTGAATTGAAAGACTCTTGTGGAGATATGAACGTTGATAATTAAGAGGGGTCTTAACCCAAATTGTAGGAATCCTGAATACTTAGCCACTTCGTTCACTTATTAATGACCCTGAAGACTTGGGGGTTTTAACACTTGGACATTTTTTGATTGGACAATTCCTACAAGTCATTCCTGAACCGAATTTATCAGACTTACCAACTACTCATTTATCACAATGGCAATTGTTAACTCAAAAAATTTCGAGTTTTTGGAAAAAGTGGTCAAAAGAGTACCTCCAAAGGTGCCAATTCGTCAATAAGTGGAAACGTCCAGTCTCCATCACCGAAGGTATGTTGGTGCTCTTCATGGACCGAAGGTATCTACCGGCAAACTAGCCTCAAGGACCCATCACGAAAGCACATCCTGGAAAAGACAACAAGAAAAAGTAACGAAAAATCGACTGGAAATACACTTGCAAGCGCTTAAAGATGTTTGGCAAACTTTTTCGACAAATTATCAAGCAATCAACCTCACTATTCCCTTGGTACCAAACGCAGATCAGTGACAATTGAAACGACGATCGGTAATCATGCAGTTTAGGCATAATTACCGAATTTTTCGTCCAACGTTATTTTAATTATCGCGATCGAATCAAAGGTTTTTTCAACCTGATAGCCACCATATATCTGCTTGTCAATAATGATTATGCGTGTATCACCTTGAGCTCGTCATAACTTCTTGCGACTCAAAAGATAACATTCATTTAAATCACAATTTAGTAGTTTTATCGAAAACACTTTCATGTAGTCGTGTTTTACAACTCTTGAGAATACATGATTTTACTTTCTTATACATCATTCTCGATCTTGATATTTATTGATAAACACCAAGATGGGATAGGTATTTTTTACATCCAAGGTATGAAAAAACTACTCACAAATTCTATTTTAATTGTTTTTATGTTTCAATACAAATAGTGAGATAAATTGTGAAAAAACTTTTCTGTCTTTTTTTGAAGTCACAATTAAATGATAAAATAAACTTGTTTAGCATGGAATAATTATAGGACTAATCAATACAAAGTCTCATTATTTTATTAATAAGTTATAAAAAAACTCATCATAAATTATATCTACTTATAATAATGAGATATTTTAATATACAATCTACTAAAATAATACATTGTTCTGATTCCATTAAATAATTTCCATTACCTTCCGTTGCATTGGATAATGCGATAATTTCCATGTCTGGAACATTTTACGGTTGTTCTGGTTCTTACAAACACTGTAGTACCTGGTAATTTGTAAATGTATGCAGTTAACAGAATAATGCACGCTAAGGAAATTAGATTTTACGAGAGTTGATAAGTACACGAGAAATTACGAGCAATAGTTTTCGAGTTACGCGTTATAACACGCAATAGAAAAAGGGGACCCTTTGAAAGCTTCCTAGTACTTACTTATATACATAATGTATTACATCTATATGTAAAGCAAGAAAGTGCCTTACTAAAAGTATACACGCCTAAAATAGATACGTATAAAACACACTCCAAGAGAGAGCTATCCATTTGTATAGTGGCAGATAATTTTATTACCTTCTATAAAAGACTGACGAGACTAAAGAGCTTTTGCTGTTCTCAGTTCGTTATTGGTTTCTAACAGTACTATACCATGAAATAAATAATCTATATTTTTTAAAATAATAAATTAGCTTTAATATCACGAAAAACTGGTTTAAAAATGCTTTCAAATTTATTAGGATGATTTTTTGCTTTTTTTTTGGCTCTAAATTGTCGATATACATTTATCTTTCAAAAACCAGCCCAATTTGCTGGCTGTAAATTTGAAAAAATGTATAAATATTTCTGTAATAAATATTGTATAAATATACTATGTGTTTCTCATTTCCTTTTAGAATAAACGTCGTTCAAGTTAAATAATACGTAGCGTAGACATAATGATTGAGTTGCGAAAAGGAGTAGAGAGAGAGGATATAAATAAGTTTGTCGCATCTTATATACTACTGAAGGCTTATAAATAACTCAAAAGACAAGAGTTCAGTCAATCCTAATCGCAAGTATAATTTTTTAGGCTCTTGTATTAGACTTCAATCTAATACAATCGTTGATTTCCGGCGGAAATGAATGCTAGTATGTTTATACCATAGATTACCTTCAATTATTCAACTTTCTCTTTTTCCTACGCACTTATTTTTGCTTTAGCTGAAGAAACAAACATCAATAATAGTATGATTAATATTTATTAAATCGTTACGTTTATTACAGCATCAAGAGTGTGAATGTGAACGACACACTTGTGGCGAAAGATGCGAGAAATGTTGTTCGATGTACAACCAAGTGGCTTGGAAACCTGGAACAGCTGGTCGAGGCTTTCATTGTGAGAAATGCAATTGCCATGGACATGCAAATGCATGTAGATACGATCCAGAGATTGCTGAAAGACGAATGTCTCTTGACATCAGGGGGAAATACCGTGGGGGTGGTGTTTGTATAAATTGCTCGGTAAGATCATCAATAAATAAAACAAAGAAATAAAAGCCATTGAATGTATAATTAATCGTCTCAATAAATCTAGAGGAACAGTTAATTAACTGATCTATTTACCACATTTTTTTTAAAATCATTTTTTGAGACCAATGTTTATTCATCTATCGACATCATCAACTGGAAAACAATGAAAGCTTCGTCATCCTAGATCTGTACATAACATCATTAATTAATCTCTTAATGAACATTGAAAGAAATCTTTTTCTAAATCATTAGATTAATTTACAGCCTTATTTTAGTTGGTAAACTTTATTATTTTCGATAAAAGAAAATGTCTTCTTGAGTAAAATACTTATAAACATTCTAAGGAGTCATTAGTTTGTTTGAAATTCGAATTTAGAAATTTATTTCCCTCAGGGTATAATTTTTTATTTAAAAATAGATCTGTTATTTCTTGAAAGTGTTGAAACGTTTGATTGGATAACAAAAGATAAAAACCTGTAAAGTAATAATCAGCTAATTAATGTTGATATTTCAGGACCATACAACGGGAATCAACTGTGAGAAATGTCAAGTTGGTTACTACAGGCCCAATGGTGTTTCACCTGATGATCCTCATCCTTGTATACCATGTGATCATTGCAATATTGGCGGCAGCACAGGTTTCTGCATTCCAGATGATACCTACCCAGGAAAGGTAAAATTTTTACTATCTTTATAGAATGTTTAATTAATGAGTACATTTAATAAAAGATGAATAAGAAAAACATATCATTTAGGTAGCAGGTGCTTGCGACTGTAAAGTTGGCTTCTCAGGTTACAAGTGTGACCAATGTGCAGCAGGTTATCGGCAATTTCCTGACTGCATGCCATGTCCATGTGATTCACGAGGAATTTTACCTTCTCACGATTGTGAAGGTGATTGTCTTTGCAAAGCGAACGTTGGTGGCGAATTTTGTGATCGATGTAAGTCAGGATTCTTTGCATTGACTCGCGATAATCTTGAAGGATGTCTACCATGTGACTGCTTTGGTGTCACCGATCAATGTACCGCTGCAAAGCTTGTTTATGAATCTGTAAGTATTCAGAATAATAATTAGCATGATAAACGACTACTTTAACGCACAGATAATTTATTTCTTCGATTAATCTTTATGTAAATAATTTAATCAAAGCAATACCAGTTTAGTAAATAATTTATAATCAGTTGAATAAAACTATAAAATAATTAATAATTATATTAATTTTCTTGAAGAATAACAATTTTATGGATTAAAGTTATATAATTATTTAAGATTCAATAATTTTCTTTAAGGATGAAATTTTCTGCCTTAATTTGTATGATGAGTACATAAATTCAAAAGGCAAATTTCCTCCTAATATAATACCATGTTCCGGTAATTCATGATAGTGTATCTAAATTTATCATCTTTTCGATCAAAAGATATTAGAGAATAAAGTTTAAGCATAACGATCAAGGCTAAGGACTTGCCAAGTATCTTAGGAAAGAAATGAAGCTTGGATGAAGCTTCAGAGACACGATCATCGTTAGATGATGAACTGGATAAGCTTGAGCCTATCCCTGCTATCGGTGTTCATGACTCGGAACGAGACAGCAACCCGTAATTACGCTGTCGCACGAACGACTCTTGGTAATGGTCAAGTACGATAAATGAGGGTGGACGCTTGTCCTCTTTTACTTTCCATGTTATTATTACTTCAACGCCTCGGTGAAAACTTTGGCTTGATTTTATATCATAGTATCTGCTGTTATAATATAAAAATGAATTATTTTATAATGCAGATTTCTACATTAAGTGACTGGCGTGTGACAGACATCAATGCATCGAGACCAGTAGTTCCAACTGTTGATCCTGACAACGGATGGTTAACCCTTGCGGCTTACGAAGTCGAATATCAAAGTCCATTTTGGCTTGCTCCGAAAATGTATTCTGGTAATCGATTGTCGTCTTATGGTAGCAACTTGAACTATTCTACAAGCTGGATTGTTATGAGAGGTGACACAAGTGGTAAACCAACTATTGAACCTAACGTCATTCTTGTGGTAAATATTTTTGTAATTTTTATATTTATTATTTTTCTATTAAACTGAACAATGAATAAACCCAGAAAAAACAAGTTCAACTAGTTATGATTTAGTATTTTTATTTTATTAAAAATCATCACAGCTCATAAGAAATTTTTTGTACATAATTAATTTCGATATTAAATTTTTTAGGGTAAAAATGGAATGAGAATTGCGTATGGTGAAGAACAGTATAATGGGCAAGAAGCAGAAATATCTGTTCCACTTCAAGAACAAGGTTGGTACCACGTTCACGAAGAAATCCATGACATTTATACAAGACGTAGGAGAACAGAATACAAAGGAGATCCAGTCACCCGATCGCAAATGCTCAAAGTTTTGGCAGATGTTGAACACTTGATGCTAAGAGCTCAGTACCATTCAGAACAAGTGGAAGCAAGTCTTTTATCTGTCATGTTACCGATTGGAGAACGTGCAGAAGACGGTAATGAAAGTCGTGTAGAACATTGCAAGTGCCCAGAAGGATATGCAGGTTTATCTTGTGAGAATTGTGCATGGGGGTATGTTAAAGTCATCGTCAATGGTACTGACCACCAGGATCATCATATTTGTGTTAAATGCGACTGTAACGGTCATGCTGGATCCTGCGATCTCGTCATGGGAGAATGCATCGTAAGTATTTCTAGTTTATCGACATTAGAGAACTGGTAGAAGTTCACTTGTAACTGATATTGAAGAGAACAGTTTAAATTGCTCAAGTTAAAGAAGAATATTGATGGATGATCAGAAGGTTTTTTTTACTTGTTAAGTGGAATAAAACAATATTGTTGATTATTTTTATTTTTCATCATTATCTTTGTTATAGCTAACTTTAAATTTTGATAAAATTTTTATGTTTTTGAATAATATTTAATTTCATATATTACAAAATATTTATTCATCATTTGATACATGACCTGAATTGTCTTTCAGGCTTGTGAACATCACACCACTGGACCAAAATGTGACCGCTGTGCTGTTGGTTACTACGGAGACGCAACTCAAGGAACTCCAGAAGATTGCAAACGATGTGCTTGTCCTCTCTTTGAACCATCGAATCAATTTAGTCCCAGTTGTCGAGCAGATGACCCTAAAAACCCTAACGGTAACTACGTTTGTATTCAATGTCCTGAGGGATACATTGGAGACCATTGTGAAAGGTACCATCTTTTAGCTAAAAGTCAATAATAAATTAAGAACAATAATGCACTCAATTAAAATCAATACTTTATAACTCTTACATTCTATTTATAACTCTAAAGATGTGATGTCGGCTATTTTGGCGATCCAACAAAGCTTGGCGGAAGCTGTAAACTTTGTCCTTGTAACGGCGGAACGTGTGACCGAGAAACTGGTCGCTGTTTGGAATGTCTTGGTAATACAGAGGGTTGGAAATGCGATAAATGTAAAGAGGCTCATTATGGTGATCCTTTGAGGCAAAATTGTTTACGTAAGTATTTGCAACAGTTAAATTTATTTCATTCAAAAACACAAAGTCTTAAAAAATAACAATCAATATTTTGAAACAAAATATACCATTTTATTATAATTGTTTTTTTTTTGCAGCCTGCAATTGTAACATTCAAGGCAGCAGTTCGGGTTTATGCGATCCAATAAGTGGCCAGTGTCCATGTTTACCGCTCTTCAGTGGTCGTGATTGTTCTCGATGCATTGAAGGTTACGGAAATGTCAGTGTAGGTTGCAGAGAGTGTGATTGCGACGTGGGAGCTGTCAGCAGCGACTGTGATCCTATCACCGGAAGCTGTGAGTGCATGCCAGGAGTCGATGGAGATCGATGTGACCGGTGTGATGTGGATCATTACGGGCTCTCAATGAATGGCTGTATCGGTAAGTGTGAAATTGATTTCTTTGATCGTTATCGAAATTCGTCGGATGAAGAAATGCTCAGTAGAGATACGATTGGCCTCAATACGAAGACATTGGTTGTTCTTTGTCATTCTCGTTTCTTTTTCTTCCTCGTTTCCCTTTAAAACTGACCCTCGTCCAGCTGAGGCTGGTGCAGGACGTCTGTCTACCTACGCATGAAGCAACTCTCCCACGCGTAAGCGTGAAATTAACCAGTTGGCAGACATCAATAAATAACCCAGTGCACCTCAGAACCTGATAGCTTTTCTTGTGATAAGGATAATTATTTTTATGAACTCAATGGTCCTTAGATCCGTAAGAATATTTCATTTAAAATACTTGTATCACTCTTGGATAAGTAAAACGAGCTCATTAATTTCCAAGATGTTAATTAAAATTAACTTAACTATGTATTTTTCAACTAATACTTAGACAGACTATTTACTTCAGTTATTAGTTCATTATTTTGATCTAACTTCTTTTAAAGACAGACTGTTCTGAACGGTAAAACAGTAATCATCAGCATACTATAATTTTCTTTCTATTGAAGTTTCATCAATGATTTAAGTTACCTACATCAATTATTTAGAAGCGAAGTATTCAGGTATTGATATTGCATCCTCTTTGAAACAGAGGCTAGAGTTTTTGTGCTAATCAATATAATAATTTGATCATTCATTGGTTGTGAGAAGATTCTTCCAGCTTGTTTGAGAAAACTGTATTCATCACAAAACTGAATGAAACACCGATTTTCGAATATCAAAAAAGGTATAAATGAGATACGTTTATATGATCACAGAATGAATTTTCAATATTTAAGATAAAATATGACCTCTTCAGATCCTTACTACCGTTCTCACTGGAACAAGTAGTACAAGTTTATCTATTATTAAATCAAAGTTTATTGAGGAGACATAAAAGATAAATTATGTAAACGCAATGATCAAGGATAAATACTTGACACTTAAAGTTCTTAAAATACGTTTGAATACCATATTTTAAAGACTGTTATTACTCTTGAAAGTAGAACGGCTTCATTAATGCCAAGAGTTGTAACTTCATCTCTGTTACAAGTAAAGAGAGTCTTTGCAAAATAAAGAAATGATCGAAAAAAAGATCAAGGAACGCAGCAAAAAGCTGTCTGAGTCTAGTAGACTCATGACTCGTTTGAGATGTTAATGAACCTCCTACGAGGCAGACGACTGAGAGTCCTGTGGCTTTTCACCTTCTTATTCTCACCTCCGAATGATACGCTCCGTTACATACGTGGCATCCCACGTGCTTTCAAATACATGAAGTCTATCTCCAGGTGCTCATTGAATCCATTAGATTAGTGACTCATCGAAGTTGTAAATAAATCTGCGAGGTGTGAAAAGTTTTATTAAAATAGTCATTTTTTTTCTTGTACACCATTATAATAAATTATGGGTATTCTTCAATTTTGCATATTCAATGCATAAATTTTCAAGATATCTCAGCTGTGCATTTTTTAATTGTTGTGATTTATTCTGTTTTGGATAAAAGTAAATGAAATTTGAATCTTTTAAAGCTTCTATGTCAATTTTTTTTAAAATCAATATGTTCATTTAATCAATTATTGCAATTATTTAGCATCATATTGGAGACTAAATTTTTCTATTCAATGTTTTTATTCTAAATGTGATCAGTTGATATGTACTGATTATTTGCAATAAATGTGTAGCTTATACATTGATTTTTTTTGTAATTTATAGTGAAAAAAAAAATGATATATATGTTACTAAGCTCTAATAACAAACAAACGCGCCCTACTTTTCACACTCTAGCTCACGATTACAGTAACATGTGCTTATTTTTGCAATGTGTTACAATAATAATGGAACAAACATATTTCTAAAGTCAGGGTGTGTGTGCAATTTCATTCTTACTCTATTACTCTATCATCATACAACGAATAAAATAACCTGCATGTTGACAGACTATTATCAGATTCATGTATATTCACAGATTGAATTAATATTTTATAAAATGTTCTTTTGCTTTTTTTTCACAAATGTTCAAATATTTGAATATTTTATTATTGTTGTTATTATTTTAAACGTCTTTAAAAACTCTCCATGTAACCAGAATTGTACAGTGTTTGTCATACCTAAAATATTGAATGCTTGAGTATGAGTTTAAATGAAGTCTTTGAAAATATGACACGGACGTATGTTTCGACAGTATATTATCTCTGTCTGGAAGACAACAGATATCCTGCTGTTTATACCCATGATCTTTTTGGTAATGGTGAACCTGTGCTTTGGTATGTAATTGGGCAACAAACATTTCGTGGAGATGATTGGACTTTTTATCATCGAAGTTTTCCCAAAAGTATTCTTTTTGTTGAATTGAATTTAAAAAAAATTTTTATCATGATCTTAAACTCAAAATATTTTTTTTACTATAATTTAGAGACTATGTGTTTTGATTTTAATTTCGATCTAGCAGATCCAATGTCAGTTCCATACCTGATGGTAGGAATATACCCAACAGATTTCTTTATCAACCCTAGATTTATACCAGGTGATTCATATCATGGTGAAGAACTTGAAAAACTTTTAAGTCCAACAGTTGGGGATAATTTAGATTCATTAAAAAGATTATTAAACATCAAATTCCGTTTTACGTTCCACCAAAGTCTGTTGATGTTAGAAGATACCCAGTGTATATGCATGAGAATGTATTTGTTGGTTTTCTCACGATCCAAATTTTGATGGCATATTCAAATAAACACTGGCACGTTTCTTGTAGTACAGATCAGAAGAATTATGTGATTTTTTTACATCATCAAGGTTTTAGTACGCTTCTAGAAAAAATTGTCAACTTTTATTGGTTTTGGCCTCTGATATTCCTTTTTCTAGTTCTGGTTGCAACATTTGTTGTCATATGGTTGAAAACAGTTAAAAAGATTGCACTTGTAATTTTTGATATTCTTTGACTTGTGATTAAGGTAGTACTACTGGTTTTAGAATTCACGTTCAGAATTCAATCAAATGTGACATATTCATAAATTATAACATCATATTAATTAATAAATAATTATTAATTGAACAGTTAAATTTTTGAAGGCCTGCAGAGGACTGAAAGAAAAAATTAATTTTTAAAAAGTTTTGCCTTCATCATTGATCCTTACGGGAAATCACAGACTATTTTTTTTCACTTAACTGAACGTTCTAATTTCTATGATAGTAGTGTCATGACTGTATTACAAGAATATTCCAGAATTTTGATTGTGGAATTTTTTTTTTTCTGTGCTCTGCAGGCCTTTATAAATTGAACTGATTAATTATGATGTTATAATGTACCAATATGCCAAGTTTCAGTAATTTCTGAACGTAAATTCTAAAACCAGTAGTACTATCTTAATGGAGGAGCATTGATTCCAATTAATATTTCGCCACTCAGAATATTTTTTGGAATAATTTTTATATACTTTACTGTGATTCATTCAACATTTAGTGGAAATTTAGCTGGATTTTTGACCAAAGTTCTCGTAAGGCAAAATATAGACTCTATTCAAGATTTAAACAAACCACATATCAATACAACAGTAGTTTATGGAGTCAGAAATTGCAAAAAAAAATATCATTAATGTTTATAATATACCAGAATGTACTGATTATGTCATTAAAATACCTGATGCAGTTTATGTAGGTCTTGAAAAATATATAAAAGATTTTATGTTTATAGATAATACGGAAAATAATAAATTTTATGTAAGTAGCAATAGATTTTCTCCAACGGCGAGTGGTTATGGTTTTTGTGGACGTTTTCCTTAGGAGAAACAATTCAATCAGGCGTTAATGATCATGGTTGAAACGAAGACTTTCAATTACATTAATATCGTGATGTAAAAGTATGTTCATAAAATTATGTTGTAAAAAAAATCCGGTCACATATGAAGTTTCAGACAATTATCTAAAACAATTTAGATTTTGCTTTCTTCCTTTAAAGTGTTGGATTAGCTAAGATTTCGTTTATTTTCTGTTGGAGGTATTTAGAACCAAATAACATAAGGAATCATTAAAGAGTTTTCAATTCGTGTGATCTAAACCACAACTTCACATGATTCATTGAATAGAAGTAGTAGAATTTTGAGTGGCGTGATTGTTTAAATAATTAAATTAATATAGTAGGGGAAAGGTGGGTACACTGCAAATCCAAGTTGTAGACACTTTTAAAACGCTAAGCCTCTTCAATGTTAAATATCATAAACAAATTATAGATTTGTCACACACTACGAAATGTGTAAAAAGTGTCTACAAATCATGCATAGTTTGTTAATGGGCATTTTACATTGAACACACTTATTATTGCGTATTATTTTAACACGTTTGTGAAATCCTGGGAATTGCAGTGTATAGAGTGGAACGCGAGGGTAAAATGAAACACTCGAGAGAATGTACTAATTTATTAAAATAAGTTTACAAACGCTTGTTGTGCTTTTCGTAGATTAATTTTTCAATTTATTTATGCATTAAAAATTATTAACATTTGTTAAAATAATGCTTAATTTGTTGATTTAAATTTTTTCGTGGTGTTCCACTTTACCCTCTCTTCCCCTACACTAATTTTTGGAAAAAATACAGTTTTTAGATGGCACCTAATATAATATTTTGATATTGCCAGTGAAATGTTAATTGTTTGTTCTTTTCTTTGCATTTGATGTATTAATTATAAGTTAATCATTTTAATAACTAATGACTTCAAAAACTGTTCTGGTAATTTCAAATATATTATAAATCAACAATATATATATATATTATAAATACTTATAAGTATTTATTAGAAGAATTCAAAATGATGTAATTGATAAATTATAATTACCATAATTAGTGTTAAGGCTCATTTTTCAGGTTTCATTAAAAAAAATGTGATATAATGAAAATAAATGAAAATTATAGCTAACTTTCAGGTTTAATATAACACTATCAGACACGTAAAGAAGTAAAGTTAATTTTTACAAGCACAAATATGGTATTGGATCATTAAAAAACAACAAATTAAATAAGTTGAAGATTATAATTAACTGTCTACAAGTTATACGGAAACTTCTTGCGAACTTTGATCGCACGTCTAAGGAATTATTTAACGCATTTTACTCATATAGTTGGAGGAGAATACTTCCCTAAGGTATTTATTTCGTGGCTTGTGTGTAATATTTTACAAACGTTGTTCGATATTACTGAAGCATTAATTTACGCCTTGCAAGATGTCCTGCTGAGTCGTGATGAATTTATGTCAAGTTGTTTTACCAGTACACGTCTAATACTATGAATTCATTTGATAATGATATTTCCGCGATTTCAAATTATTAATAATTATCTAAATATCGGCAAATAATTTCCAAACGATTTATGACACTTAACGATCATTAGGCTTCTCCAGGTCACTGTGCATTTAAATTATAACTCTAAACTCTGCAATTTATGCTACCTACGTACAAAAGTATTCGATTTCTTTCTTTACTACGTGAAAAAAAAAGTTTTCGCTTGATCTTGATGAAATGTTTTACACTTAAAAATAATCCTTATGTCATTGATGAGTTATTTCCTGGCGTTCAGCTCAAGTAATCATGTATGCATGACTTGGAATTGCTTTGATGTTTTTCACGAATCGTCTATACTACGCAGTAAACTCGAGCGCTTTATTTTGCCGCAATCGAGATCGAGCGTAGGTGGACAGTCTCAGGGTTGGAACGATCAAAGAGAGAAAGAGCGGTAAGAAGCACGTGATATATCAGGATAAATCTCAAGCGATTCAATCGACATGAGATTCCAGAGATGTGTGGATAAAATGGATAAAACTGTGGGAAAGGTTTGCCAATCTCGTGCAACAATCATTTCAATTTTTATTAGAATAAATCTGAGATTGAGGTTGATTTTGGGTCGTTTATTAAATTATTTATAATCTGAAAATAAAACAAATTGAAGCAAAATGATTGTAAATCGATATCCTAGTGATTTTAAATGATTGACAGTGTGAGGAGTTTATAATTTAGCTGAACAGAATTTAGTCTTATTTTGAATGAACGATGAGTAGAGAGAAACGATGGACAAAAGCCGATAAACCGAGTACGGGCATGCGATGGCAAGATCTTAAGGACACGGAGCAGATCCACTACTTCTGATCCTGTATTCCTTCTTCCGTTGGTAGTCGAATGTAAGCGGTGCTGTTTTAGTGTAGCGACGACAACGACTGCGTCCCGCAAAAACTCACCGAGAGTCAGCGGAATGTAGTTTTGCGAAACTTCGACGTTCGGACAATTCGATCGCACGCCCAAAGACTGGACATTAGCGTGTCGAGGCTATTCTTTTTGAATTTTTATTTACTCTGCTTAGAATCCCATTATTTTTTTTTTTAGCGATAATAATCGTTGAGTTATCAAAGATTCATGAAAAACTTTAGATTGAAAATTTAAATCAATATTCCAGATGATATAAGCATTATAAATTACAGAAAACGATAACTTTTTATGTAAAAAAAGGATAAAAAATAGCAATGCTATCACTAAAATGATGGAAAATAAAAGTAATCATGGTATTTAATGAAGTAAATGATTTAATTCACCGGAAAAGTGTTATCAAATTAAATAAATTAATCTACAGATTTTTCTTTCATCGCATCGGCTAGATTCCAGGTAGTCCGAAGCTTCTTTCATTTCTATGGTCTTACTTAAGGCACGTACAGTCGCTAATGATGCAATCGGTTCATCAGATACCCAAGTCTACGTCTTCCTTGTTTTTCTCTCTTTTTACTTCATTCACCATGTGCTCTCTTTATACTCATTGCTCACCTGACCGACGCGTGGGTCGTTTCTGTGATGAGTATACACACACATACCTTTTTCTCTCCATTGAAATCTCAACAAACCTTTCGATTATCTTAATCTTTTTTTTTGTGATTCACACGTTAGATCGATTGTGATATCTCACCTGATGGTCTTCTTAAAAATATCAAGAAATACCGTATGATATCAGGTTTCTTAATGGTCTTTTTCATTGATGAAAAATTGAATTGATGTTCTATCAATCATGATGAATTTATAATTTATTTAATTTTGTTCATTTTAATTATTATTCATAGACACAACCAACAAATTCTATTGAGAAGTAATCAAGTATGAAATATTATCAATAATTCAAATATTTTTGAAAAAATTATTTAAATTTAAATCAAAAATATTTTTAATAAAAACGAAATTCAATGAACTTGAAATAATTATTATTTTTTCCAAGTTTAATGACTTTATTACAGCTTTGACTTATTCTAATTGAAGGTAATTTTTACCAAAATAAATCTCCAATATAATAAAATTATTTTTCAGAGTAAATTCTTGAATGAAATTGGAAGTTAATCTGTGCTTGCTTTGATCTATTGAATTTATTGATTTATTGATAAAACGATTTTTTTTATTCCTTCATTTTGATCAGATAAAGATAATCAGATATTGAAGAAATTGTTAAAAAAAATCCAAAAAATGATTTATGATTATGTCAAGTTAATAAAAATACTAGTAGTTGATTAAGCCATGAATCAAGATAGAAGTAAAGATCAGTCAATGGCTCAATAATTTTTCCTATCATATATCAAGTAACCGGAAGGAGTTTCTTGAGCTATCGCGAAGACGTGCAATGTTGCCGACAAAGTCTAAAACAATAAAACAATTTAAAAGCTCCCATAAAGTGTCTATGTAAGTACAGTGATATTCTCT